AAGGTCCTTCATAATAATAACGGACAGAATAAATTCAATGAGGACAACAACAGCACAAAAGCAAAAAAGCAAGTTGTTTCATTAAAAGTTTATAATTGAATATTGTAGCCGTTTACTTGTTGAATGCTTGTCTTTGTTTTTGCAGAATCACGAAGTATATGTCTTGCTGATATTAAAGTTCTCTTTGCTTGTCATAAATCGAAATAGTTTGAAAGAAACTGGAAAATGAGAGCACTGCTTGACAATTTTCTTTCATGGCAGGAAGGCTTTGGAAGTATTAAAGATGGGAAAGAAAAGTAGTGCTTGAGAAGGATTTCAAATTCCTCTTTGTTGATTTCTTCCTTTCTTCTTATCTTTTGCTTGTGTCATTGTTCTATTTTCTCTTAGGTAATAATTATTTCACATACTTATTTTGTTATCTTTTCAAACTTTTGAGAGAGACAAGCTTTGCAAGAGAGATAGTCTTCATAAGAATCAAATATATTCCAATGTGATACTTGAAGCATAATCATTTTAGCATAATTGAGAATGTCATTGACTATGTGAAAATGATATTTTTAAGTCGAAAAAATTTTTGTGATGAATTTTGTACCATTTGATCAAAATAAAAAAAATATAGATAAATCTTAACCATTATTGTGACTTTATAAATTAAGAGTTCAATTTCCTAGTTGTAATCTTAGATAGATTATTTGAAGTTGTGATTATAGATTGTTCATTGACGTAGTGATCTACTGATTAGAAAAGAAGTCGGGAAAAATTTATAACATGCTAAAAGGGGAAAAAACATGAACGGGCAAATCTGAATTGGGTCCAATGATTCTTAACACGATCAACAAATTAAACACAAAAATATAGCAAAATATAGAGATTGAGTTTAATCTTTTGAGTTTGAGTGATAAATAAATAAATTTGTCAAACTTATAAATAAATAAGTCAACATGAATTTCGTTAAAGTGTAATACATAACTAAATACACGTAATTTATACAAAAACAAATATAAATATGTATACTTATACATAAATCGATCGAAAGCTAAATGAATTGTAACAAGATGCAAATCTAAGCGTAGCATGAATTGTAATTGATTTAAGTTACATGTAAATTTGTTCAAATAAAAAAAAAAGTTACGTGTAAATAATATTATTCTTAAACAATAAATAAATAAAGTACGACACTGCAGGTGAAGTGGGTGCCATGTGCAGGTCTGTGAATGATATCAGAAGAGGAGGCGAGACATCCGCTTGTTGCCAAAACCGTACACCAAAAAAACCGAAGGCAAAGAAAAAGATAATATACTTTATTTTTTTTTTTTAGTTTAACTATTAGGAGTATTCAGATTAATTTATATACATTTTAACTAATTTTTTTTTCCTATGTTGTCAAAAAATTATCAAAATTCAAACTATGAACGTCTGCGTTATTAATTCGTTATTCTTATCACTTGAATTTCGCTTAGAATTGAAGAAGATGTACTTTACACATACACTATGATACCGAAGTTTTAATTTTTAGTACCATACTGTCAAGGAAAAAAAAGTCTAAAAAGTCAAAAGTTTCACCCAAATACTTATAAGCTCAAACAAAAAAGTTGATAAGTAAAACCGAAAAATAGTTACTCAAACTTAAAATGTGAGTACATCTCAAAAGTTAGTAAATTACGCACAAAAAATAATATAAATATCGTAAAGGTGATAAATGATATGAGACTATTTTTTTTTTTTTTCTTGATGGAGTAGCCAAACCCTTTACTTTATGGGGAAGATGAGGAAGGGGCTATGTACCTGGCAGCCTCAAAGCATTAATAAATGTTTTCTTGTATGGTCAAATTACACATTCATCTTGTCAACAAACCTTTATTCTAACTATTTAGAACAGTCATATGAATACTTTTCTTCTTGATGCTCCATCAAACTTTATATTATTCCTTCAAAAAATAAGTTACACCCTTGATAGGTATCATAATAGCATTTACCCATTGATGCAGTAATAGAAGTTCTATGGGCATATTCAAAGTATTCGAGTCGATTTTCTTTTGACTGGCATATTAATTACTCGTATAGTATTTTCAAATAAGTTTATTACTTTCCTATTGTTCTAATTTTAAATGTTCACTAAAAATTAGAAGGAAAGGTATGCCACTTTATCCGCCTAACTATATCATTTGATTTCACTTTGTTTCAATAATCTAATGATATGCAACAAAGCAAGTGAGATTGGACCATAATTTAGGGGTGAAAATATGAATTACCTTTTCTTTTTGTAGTTCTTTTGATGAGTGACTGTTAAATGCACATTTTGCAATACACTGGGCTTTCCACCAAACACATGATTAAGTTGTAAAGTCAAATGTTGTGAGTTTAAAATTTAATAATTAATTTTACGTCAGTTAATTATATTAGATGTGTGTATATGAACTTTTAGACACCTTCTTTTACAAGTCAATTTTCAAGAGTAAGTTTTAGTCATAAGTTCATAATAATTAGAATCAAAATTAGCCATCAAGTCGAGTTTGAGATTAAGCGTAGTGTGAACTACAATTCTCTATGGTAGAGTCACGGAAGGAGACGACTTATAAACTATATTAAGATGACTTAGTATTATATATAAGTATAATACTATCTCATTAAATACTGATAAATGAATGAAATCGTAAAAAAAAAAAAGGTTATCGTTGGTGAGTGTTGATATGGACATGGACGTCAGCTATAAAAGTATGATAAAATATTATGATCCTATAATAAATTTTTGATCGAACTAAAAAAATAATTAATTGAAATAAATATAAATCGACGCCAACACCCTAGATGCAATCCTAAAAAAAAACACAAGAAACATGGGTGCTAACTTTAACACATAAAAGTTAACAATGTAATGATGCACAAAAAGCTGCGTCTCCCAACAGACCCGTATATTTGGGATCTAATCATGTTGCACATCTTTTTAAGGGAGCTCTTTGATTCCCACTTTATATATCTGTCTTTCTTTTTTCCACTTTGATTGGGTAGGTTTGTGCTTAGGACAAACTTTGCGCTCTTCTCTCTTCCTTTTTTTTTTTTTTTCCTTTTGTTTTTTTGGTGTATGGTGTAATTATGAAAAAGTTTATACTTGACAATGTGTTTGAAAAACGAACAAAAGAGGCTAGTGAGGTCACTAGTTAGGGGAGATGAGATTGAATGATATTGTTGATGTTACCTTCTTATATGTAAAAGTCATCGAGAAGAAGACTTTTTATTTCCTTTATGTAATTATCAAATAAGAATAAACTAATTCACTTATGATCCTTTTTCACTTGATGAAATAGCGCAATTTCTACTGCATTTGTTGTGTTTTATCGTACTAGACTTTTTTAAGGGGTGGGATTGGTGGTCTAACCATCTTTCAAAAATGTGTATTGCTAACAACATGGTTGAATCGTGAAGAAAAAGCATTAGTAATGGACTACATTGAGAAAAGCTTTTTATTTTGATTATGCAATTGTCAAATAACAAGAACCAAACCCTGATAATATAATTTCTTCCCTGCAATCCTACTCAATTTTTATTTTTTCTATTTGTGCATGTCTCTTTTCCCTAATGTGTCAAGTAGATTATTTGACAATATTATCACACAAAAAAAGAGGTTAGGACCAGTAAAAAAAAATCAATATCTTTCATCTTAATTGTATGAAGAAGAAGGTTGAAATTGCCTTGTGCCTGAAGAAAAATTTGCTAATTGGAAGAGTGGAATAAGGTTGGCACTAAGAGACTTTTGCCGATAAAGATCGAGATTTAAAACATTAAAATAGGACTATTAATTATTATTATATGCTCACAAGGATGACCAAAATATTACAATATTATGAATATGATAAAGGTCTACAAACCGTTATCACCCGAAAAAAAAAAATCTTAGTTATGACGTTTAAACCTTTTTCATGAAGTCTTGATAAAAAAAAAACGTTTTTCATGAAGTAGAAACGTTGTCTCACAATGATTCACACTCTGCCGATAGGAGTATGGGAGATGCTTGTTAACATAGCTTCTAAGAAAGCAACCGTGAAGTGTTACACAACCATGTTTTGTTGGTTGCTAAAACTTGTGGAGGAGCACAATACATATAGAATGCTCACCTAATCACATTGGAAAATAGTGTATATGTTTGTTATACAAATTCTTCGATTCTTAATTTTGTTATTTTACTAGCCTTTTCCCCCATTTTAAATATTATATGCTGGTTGGCTGATTGATTGATTGATTTTGTAAGCAAATAAACCTATTCAGGTAACAAATACAAACACTTTTTTACAGATTTTTTACGATTTTCAAATTGATAGAAATAATTCCAACCCAATTCCATCTATTTTTATCAAACTTTTTAAAATTTTTAGTTAAAGTCATCCATTCCGACGAGGGATGTACATTATTTCTCTAAAATAATTGACCTTTTCCCTCCTACCAAGCGGATAAAATACTGAGAATATCAAAAGTTGGTTTACAAGGTCACAGTTTTCATTTACATAAAAAAAGAAGCAAATAATATAGTGATTTTTGATGAATAATTTTTTGTTTAAATAAACTTCTCTTCTTCTTTAGTTAGCAAAGAGCAGTAGTCGAGAAAAGTACTTGAAGTAAACCAAATGGCTTATTTTTTAAATCTCACATAGCCACTAATTTAGTGTCTTGTCAATTAGGAAGTACTACGGCTACGAATATGAAATATGGGTACTATAAGATATAGATATTATACCAAAAAAAATAAGATATAGATATGATGGGGATAAGCTATTGACATCCTCTGAAATTTGGCAAAACAATAGAAAATTTTATCCTCCTTTCAAAAGTGATATGGAACTTTTCAAAATTGTTAATGAAAGTGATCGAGTTTTATCCTTGTGTGGTTGAGTTAATTATCTAAAAATCTTAATAAATAAGAACTTGGACTCCATTCTTATCAATTTCAGCCTGGAATAGGTGTCTCTGTTACAATATAAAAAACACTGAAAGCAGAGAAAAGATGTCTTGTGTAATTTTAGAAACTATGAGGACACTTTGTTATTTCAATTAGCTATAAGGGGGAGTGAGTGTAATTTTCCTTTAACAAAAACAGTAGTTTGAATCATTAATTTCCTACAACCTTAATAATTTCTATAATCCAATTCTAGTCTAGTATTACTCTACTGATAATTATACGACTATCCCCTTCATGCATTACAAAGCAGCTGTAAACATATTAAATGCATGTATATAGTTTAGCTATCTTTAAGAAAGAGCCAATGATTATTTTCCACCATTACATCATTTTCCCTCATCAACTTCTAATCTTTTTTCTTCTTTTAACAGCAGAAGAGAGTGAAAGCTCAATTACGGCCTAATCATCCTCACCCTTCACCACCTTCCAATTTCCACCAGTTCCGCCACGTGAACCCCTCTCTCTCCCTTGGCTTTTTTCTCATCTTCTTCACTTCTCTGCAACTTCACTTTGTACAATGGAGAGAGCAAAGGTAATTTACATATATACTCAACTAGTCCACTTCTTGGTTTTACAAAATTTCGGCAATTTTCACACCTCTCTCTCTCCTCCTTATTTTTTCAGCTTCTTGATGTGGGTTTTTTTTTTTCTTCAAGTCCAGTGATCAGGACAGTACCATTGAAGAGTTGGAGCTTGATCATCAGAGAAGAAATTGCAGGACTCATCACCACCAAAAAAATTGTGCTCCTCAATCTTCACAAACTGCGGCTGATACGCCTTCTGGGCATCCCCAAGAATCAATTTCGAGTCCGAGAATTGGAAGCAATTCATGGACGACGGCGACGACGACGTCGTCGAAGAACAGTTGAATTTCAAAATTGAAGATTCATTTGATACCATGAACTGGTGACCTTGAAGAACCCCAGATGAAGAAATGGCCGCGTTCGGGCTATTATTCATGTCTTCATTCAATATTGCGCTCGAATCGCTATCAGAAGACCCATCTTTGAGATCTGGAAACACTGAGCCTCCAAGCCCGCCATTGTTGTTGGTGGTGAAGCTCTTGTAGTTCATCTCAGTGGCTTCACCTTTAGCAAGTGAATTTGCATCTGGTTTAGTGTCTTCCATTATTTTGTTGTCACTTTCAGACACAATTGTCTCTTCTTTCAACATAGCGTTGGTCTGATCAGTGTTCTCCTCATGTAACTTCGATTTCAGTTCTCTTATCTGTACATAATTGTACATATGTCAACCAAAAAAATCTACCTTGTTAGGAAATTGATGGAGGACTTGTGCAAAAGAATTATCACGATTTTCGGATAATAAGAGTAAGACTACGGTATCGAGTAATTATAACTTATTATAATCAATTGTAAATATTCGAATGGATTCCGAAAAAACCATTCTTTTTGTAACTTACTAATTGGGTCGCAAATTCTCTCTTACTAGTTACCGTGGTTTGACCCTTTTGGATAATATGACCGAGACAAGGACTACCTGTTTGAGTAAAGCTTCATTCTCATGTTGGAGTGTGTCATAGTTATGGTTGAGAGCATCAAAATTAGCTTTGAGAAGGCCATAGTCTCTCTCCAATTGCTTGGTTTTCCACCTAGCTCGGCGGTTTTGGAACCAAACAGCAACTTGTCTCGGTTGCAAGCCAAGATCTTGGGCAAGCTTCACTTTTCTCTCTGGTTCAAGCTTGTTTTCCACTTCAAAATTCTTCTCCAAGGCCTTCACTTGCTCTACGCTTAATCGCCTTTTTTTCTCCATTATTTGGCCTGATTCTTCCACACAGCCTTCTTCATCTAGTCCTTCCAACATGGACTGAAACTCCCTAGGATAAACATGGTTGTGTCCCGGACTGTGTTCTTCTATAACAGTAAAAAAGGAAGAATCAGAGAAAGTTAGTGAAGAAACACACTAATTTTTTTTAATATACATGGGAAGAACAATATCACAACGAAGAATTTATTATGAAAATTTTTGAAAGAGTACTAAAGGGTAAAACAAAGAGTAAAAATCTACATGGAGGAGTGAAATAGTCGGAGAGTAAAATAATCGCGAAGAGGTGGAGAGAAGTTCCAAAAAGGTATAACAATACCCGCAAAGAGTATGTCACAAAAGATCAAATCATGTCTTTGGTAAGCATTCCTTCATCTCTAGTTATATAATCATGAAATTTTATTTTTTATTTTTTTTTGGGAGGGAAGGGAAAAGGAATTTGAACACTTGACCTCAACAAAATCAAAACTTTTATAAAATTAAGAGTATCATTGAAACAAATGACTAATTTAAATTGAACAAGATGAAATACATATTTGAGAACACATATAGGTCTCCAACAACACTACGACTAGAAATAGAGAAACCCAGAAAGGAAAAAGAGTAAAGCATTAAAAGTTGCTAAAACAGGAAGCAACTGCTTCGATGTAAGATTTTTTTTTATGGATTCCAAGGTGATTGATCATATAGATAAGGTGTAGACAAGAAAACATTGAATGGGTATGATTGAATCCTTGGTAATGAACAACAACTTAAAAAGTAGGAAAAACATGGAGTAACTGTTGGCACCTGTGGTTGGACAGATGGAGATCAAAGCACCCAAGGAATCTGAGCTGCCAAGTCTCTTCATGACTGATGGCAAAGAAGCAGTACTCTAATAACAGAACAGATCTATTTAGATCAGACCACCCTTTACTTGCTTTTGTAGATGTTTAGCGAGAGAAAGAGTTTTAGAGAGCTAGAAGTGTGTTAAGCACAAGTTGTTTTACTTGTGAGGAAACAAGCAAGCAAAACTTCCACGGCCAAAACAACCCAAACTTACACAGTTTTGTTGTGTGCAGATTGAGTCACTGTGCAACCTTTTCTCTTTCTTAACTTCACCATATTTCTCTTTTTTCAACCCGTCTTCCCCCTCTGAACCCATCAAAAAGAAAAGAAAGAAACAAACAAGCAACTGAGAAAAACAATCCACAAGACAACCAAAACCCAGAAGAGAAGTAGTCAAAAAACACCTCACACAATATTTTTCCTTCTACATCATTATGCAATCAATTCAAGAGCTTTAAGTTTGAGCACAATGTTATATGACAGGTCATCCACAAAGGAAGAGAGAAAGAGAGGGAGAGGAAATGGGAAGACGAGTAAACCAGTTCACAACCCAGCTGAGCGTTCTCACTTTCTCTGTCTTTAAATAAACCAAACTTGGGTCAGGTTTGGAGTTAGAATCTGACTGGGGTTAGGTAACTCAGAAATTTGGCAAATGAAAATGAAATGAACCCAAATTCATACCCAAATGAAATCTTGGTCCACAGGCTATTGCCCGTATTTTAGACCGTTTTGGAGAGATATTTTTTGGGAAGTAATGGTTAGGGCTCGGAAGCTTTATACGGCTCGGCTCGACCGGAGTTGAGTGAAGATTTGGGTGGCGTCAGTGAATCCTGGTTATCACTACGGCGTGGTCGGTGCGAGTAATCGCGATTATTAGAAGGAAGAGTTTACTATATCAAAAAAAAAAAAATATTGGTACCAAATCGTAATTACAAATTTTTATAATTTTTAAAGATTATTTATAACTTTTATATTAATTTACAATCAAATTGTAAATATATTAAGATCAATCACAAAGTTACATCAAAAGTAATAACCTAACCCAAAGAGGCTGTTTAGTAAGAGGATACGAGGCTTAACAATATGGGTTTAAAGAAAATAGTCTAAAAAATTTTTAAATTTTATGTTTGAATTGAAAATTCAATCTTGAATTCTCAAACCCGGCTCATAGTTGACTCAAATATTAAATTCATGATCATAAATTTTGTTAAACTTAAGGGGAGGTGGGTTTGAGAAGATAGATTAAAGGGTTAAGGATGCAAAAAATAATTATATCTCTTAACATGAGTATGAATTGGATTAATCAAAGATAAAATAATAATAATTATGATATATTTGTGGGTCATATATTTATATGTGTTGCATACCAAATATGGGTATGTACCGGATTCAATGTTGAATCCTATTTTTTGTAAAGAGAGGTTTAAGTTTGAAAGGGTTTATATTAACTTATCCAAAAAGATTATAATTAATTCAAATTAAAAAAATTATAGCATGACTCAAAAAATTTATAATTTATTTATTATAAATAAATTTAAAAACATGTGTCAAAACCCACAAAAAAGTCATTAAATTTTTAGGTAGTCTTCTGCATTTTTGATTTTGACAAGGAATCATTTTCTTATAATGCCAGGGCAAGTGAACAATGCTAAAGTAATGTTTGGGAGTTAGGATGTACTATCCCATCAAGGGCTTGTGTGGCACGGTTATAACTAATAACTTTGAGTAGATCATGAGTGGGGGCTGAAATGGAGTGATCAAATTCTTTATGTTACCAAATTTTAGTAAAAAATAAAATAAAATATATAGTCGAGTATATTCACTTAAAATTTAAAACTTCATTAATCTATGCGAGTACTTTCTCGTCTTTTATAGCTAAATTATTCACTGTAATATTAATTTAAAAAATTGAGAACATTTACCAAACTATGAAATGAAAATGTGTTAAGCTCATTTTATCAACTTAAACTTTTTTAACAATTTGATGCCACACTAATACCGTCTCTCTTGATATACAATGAAACCATGTGACGGAATATTCAAAAATAATTATACGAGAAATAGAGTATTCAATAAATACTTATGTTACATTTTTTATGATATGAAATAGTTGGATATAAACATAACAGACGATTAAAGTACTTTACTTTTGCTTGTGCACTTGAAGCAAAATGTTGCTTGAACGCTTCAACTGACTGCCTAATAGTCACAATGTTCCAACTCTCCTTTACTCATCAACTTTCCCAAAGGCAATAAAAAGAAGTGTCACCCTAGATGTGGGTCAGAATGTCTTGCTAAATTTCAAGAATCCTTTTGGACTTTTTTTTTTTCACTATTCTGAAATTTTATAGGAGGGGGGGGGGGGGGGGGGGTGAGGTTCGAACTAGTGACCTAATTGTCCAACGGCGAACTTTGGTGAACCCTTTTAGACTTCAATGGCACCAAATATTACAAAAATCAATAGATCATTTCCATGAGAATATATTTTATACAATTAAAAATCGTTCTAACCATACTTTATATGTACTTTACAGTTACTATGTAAATTTACGATGTGCATGATGACAAACCAAGCACATTGGGTCACTCATAAAGTTTCTTGCAAGACCCCGAACTTAGAAATTCGAGACATTAACTTTTGCATCTTACTATCGAAGTTCTACCATGACATGTTCCAGAGCATAACTGCATCACTAATGTATCATAAGGTCCTCGGTAGCAGTGGATTTAACCTGGAAATTTTTTATAACGACTAACCGTTTAGTTTCGTGTCATGTAAACTCATAAAGTACAAAAGTAAACTGTAAATACAAATAGTTACTCATAAATTATTCAAATCAAGTAAACTAAGATTGTCTAGTGAAAAATCGAAGTTGTAACCCCAACTTAATAACGATATTCCCACTCACATTACTTTTTGACGAATTGGATTTGCCTAGATAAAAGGGAGACAATTTTTGACAAATTACATTTGAATATGCAAATCTTCCTAGCTTCCTCCTTGCATCCTCACTGAATTGAGGCCAACTCTTTTGAGGACTATCACATTTTCTTCTTCTTCTTCTTTTTTTTTCTTATTAGCTAAATTCCACCTAATATAGAATGTTCAGTTTAAGTCATAATTACTGATGTAAGATGGTTGAGTTTGTCACCACATCATCATCATCAAGGACAAGCTAAACAAGTAATTGACACTTTACCGTCTGAAAAGTAGATAAACCAACCTATATCTTGGCTAAACTGACACCTATTTAGATCTCAAAAGATGATTCAATTCAATGCTTGGCATTGTTACATAAACATCAACATAGGTCCCCCCTAACAAAGCTAAAAGTATTGGGTCCATGCTATGTTTCCACAAAAAAAATCAATCTCTAGCTGTCTCCTCATTTGCCAGATGCTTATGAGATAGGGATACTGCCATGTTTTTTGTCACACTATTAACAGGCTCCTCTATTACTAACATGCACAGTACTTCTCCATCTATTCCAATATATATTTCTCCATCCTAAAAAGTCAATAGTATTTTCCAACCCCTAGTTGAACTTGGATACAACCCAAAATATTCAAAACTTGTGTGGAGATATCAAATACAAGAGTTGGGTTTCTGACAAAAAAAAATCTCTTCCTAATTCAAATTTGAGTGGTACTAAAATTAGGGTCTCGGGTTTTCGGGACCCAACCCAATTTTTTGTCTAAACTATATAACCCAATGATCAAATCCAAATTAAATTAAATATTGAACCCAATAATTAAACCTAAATTGCGCAACTTGAATTTCAAAAAAAATTAGCATGATCAATATTTTGGTTACATTCACATTCAGATTAAGCCCAGATTTAGGAAACGTGGGAATCTATATTAATTTTCTCAACTCATGCAAATTTTTATCCTCCAAGCACTAATTATGATACTAGGTATTTGTTACCTCTTTAAGGTTCAAAGAATTATTGTGTCATGGAAAAGAGAACACCATAATCAATGAATGGAGCATGAAATTCATAATCTAAAAAGTATATATCATCTTGTGGGTGTGACATTCGAATACAAAGGTAAGGTAATTAAGTCACCGTATTGCACTCTAAGAAGTTAGCAGTTGGCCTAATGATCATTGTTTTCCCTAAAGTTATAAGTTTAAACCTTGTCGTACCTTCTCATAATAGTGCTGGACAAAAAAAGCAAGAGTTGCACTCAAAAAATGCAGGCCCCAAGTGGGACTTTAGCTGTAATATGGTCATTAAAAACCAGAACCCACCAGGATGATAATCAGTTCTTTGTTGCTATGCAAGGTAGGGGTCACCCTGCCATTGTCTAATGTGGACAACACGTGTGAATTGGGTTCCAAAGTTTCAACAGAACCCCACAGAAAATGGAACTGATGAGTTGTGAGCATGTGGTGGTACTCACACTCATCATCAAAAGATTCAAAAACACAGAAGGATTGCTTTGCTTGGTTTCCAGGAGGACAGATTTGTGAAGAAAAAAGCTGTCCTGAAAGGCCGTCATGTGAAGGCAGGTTGGTTACACATGGAGTCAGTGAATCTTAATAAGTCCTCAGCCTTGGCCATTTAGTGAGCCACGTCTACCAATAGAAGGTTTTTTTCAAACAGATTTTCAAACTTTTCTCACTTTCTCATAATTACGTGAAAATTCAGTCGTGTGTTGTATTATGTTTTTATCGTATTAATTAAAAATATAATTAATTTTAACTCAATTCATTTAATTAGTCCTACCACATATCTTGATATTAATTCGAACAGTTAATACCCGTAACTCATGAACAAAATTTTTTTTGGGGTATTTGGGTGGACAAGTTTTATGTTAGTTGACAACTACCTAACACAACTTTCCTTTATTTTTTTATTTTTGTTCAACTTACGCGCATCTCGACTAATTTTTTCTCTGGTCTGGTCAAAGGCATGTCATCCACGTTGGAACTAGAATATTTATGAGAGATAAATCTTCCATAATTTGGCCCCAAGAAATTAGCAAAATTTAAACTCATGACATTTGATTTTACCGTTCGTTCCTTTGAGCTACTCCTTGTATTATTTCCTTCATCCAAGGTTGGAGCCCAAAGACCCTCCCTAACTTAAAAATTCATTTGAACTTTATACTTGCAAAACAAAGTAAAGAAAAAATCCTCTAATTCTAAAATGATTCATACAATACAATATACTGATCAAGAAACAGAAAGAACAACATGAAAACGATATATTTTCTTCATACATACAATAAAATAGATTTTTTGTATCAAAATAGGTAATTTGTCCTTGATAACTAACTCGACATATTAGTTCTTCAAAAATTAAATCATTTTCAGGTTTGTGTCAAAAATTAATAAACCTTT